AAAAAAACTATGATCAAATCAGTTCCAAAATGAAATACAAAACCTGTGCTAATGGAAAGAAAACATGTTGATAAAAAAAAAAAACACTGGATCCAATATTTAGTGAAAATATAGCATAACAAAAGATTTATAAGCAATTTCTAAAAGGCCAGTAGGGTATTTTGACCGTGAACACCAAATGAAGTAAAGGATTTTCAGCACAGCACAAAGGTTAAATCAGTATTACAGGCAGTATAACAAATGCTACTGTGATGTATAAATGATTTACAATTTAAATAATATATATTTTTTCCCACATTAATTAGAATTAGATTGGAAATTGTCATAAAAAATGTGCAAACAATGTCATAATGCAAACAAAGTAAATAAGTTAAAATAAATAAAGAAAATGTATAAATCAGTATCGATAAATATTAGATAAAAAATAAAATAATAAAACTGCCAACACTAATAAAAATGAAAAAATGAAAACTGATAATATAAAATAAAAGCCAATTCAAAATATTACTACACTACTGAACAAAAATGACTTTGAAATAATTTTCACTCAGAAATTGTTAGTGAATTTCACAAAGAAATGGCAAGTAACACTGAATTCAATGTGAAAATGTGTGTGAGTAGAAAGACTGAAATAGTATTTTCCCATAAATCATACTTCAATATTCTTTGCTTTATTTAGAAATATTACCACCAAATCTTGGCTTTAATCTTTTCATCAATTTTTGTTCTTTCAATTAGCACAGGTTTTGTATTTCTCTTTGGACCTGACTGATCGATCTGAGCTCATGCACCTCCGTTTTTGAGTGAATATTGACTTCGGTGAAATTTGATATTTATGGCAACTCAACTTGAAAGTTTAATTTCGCCTTTGGCATGAAGATGAGAGTCATTTAACATGGAGAGGCGACTCTAGGACCGCAAACGCTCAATATTTGAAACACTTTACAACAGAAAGCGTAGTGAAGCATCGCCACAGGAAAAATAAAAACAGCCTCAGGGTTCAGCACAAAGGACTGCATGGCAACATTATTTGTTCATGCTCGAATGATAATGATCATGTGAACATGCACACGGAAATTGAAGGAAATGAGAATTGACTTGCAGTGTGAATGAAGCCTGAGATGCCACTTCGCTTCTGGACTTTAATTGAGACAGTGCACTTCAATATTTCACGAGCTGCTCTTGTGTTTGCTGTACAGATGCTGTCAAAACAGGGTCTCTAAACACTTGACGGGGGATTTTTTAATCTGAGAGCAGAATTGGACCACTGGAGATCTTGTCATTGTGTGTAGCTTGGACTTTATTTCACAATATTACTATTATTTTTTTATAATAGATAAAAATGCAGCCTTGAAGAGCAGAAGAGTCTTATTAAAAAAAAAAAAAATCCCAAACTTATACTGGATATTGCGACGTGTTCAAGACAACATTTCAGTGCAAAAACTGACATACTGTGTCTAGTCTGGATTTTTTCCCCACAAATTAGCATTAGCAGATGAAATGTTTTACCTATATTGTCCATTCCTGGTTGAAGCACACATCCATATGGTGTCTGTCTGTTATTATGAGATTAAATATAGGAACATCTGCTCCGTATATTCTTTGTGTCGTGTTGAAGACAAAATCAGTGCAAAAACTGACATACTTTGTTCAGTCTGTAATTCATTCATTTTGCACATGTAAACACAGAAATGACACGATACAATAGTCATGATAGTGACTTATAAAACCATGAAATAAATGCTATTTTCAGTCAAACTCCTGTAACAATCTCTCCAGACCGCCTCAAGCCCTGCATGAAATTTTCATTGGCATTTGCTGAATAACAAACCCTGGTGTAAGAAGAGGCTCGGGTTGTTGTTTCCCTCACTGAGTCACACATCAGAAAACTGAAGGAAAATAGCAGGGGGAAGGGGATTCACATTTGGCTTTAAACACTTTCCCTGTAAGGCAAGGCAAGGCAAGGCAAGTTTATTTGTATAGCACATTTCATACACAAAGGTAATTCAAAGTGCTTTACATAAAAGAAAAGAAAAAAAATAATCACAACAATAAAACAAGGAATTTAAAAACATTGAAAATGATTAAAACAATTGATTTATGATTAAAACAATTGATTTGTAGTCGTCTTGTCTTCTCCCACGACTGCTCTCATGGCGCTTCTTATTAGCCGACGTGGGTGGACAAACGCCGGTAACATTTAAAGGGAGTTCACAATATTGCACAGCCACTGTGATTAGCTTTAGCAGATGAAATGTTTTACCTATATTGTCCATTCCTGGTTGAAGCACACATCCATATGGTGTCTGACTGTTATTATGAGATTAAATATAGGAACATCTGCTCCGTATATACTGCCATAGTTTGGGATCAGTACGATTTTTTTTTAAAGAAGTCTCTTCTGCTCATCAAGGCTGCATTCATTTCAAAATAAATCAAAAATACAGAAAACAAAACTTAAATATTATTACAATTTAAAATGTTTTTCTATGTGAATATCTGTTAAACTGTAATTTAAAGCTGTATTTTCAGCATCATTACTCCAGTCTTCAGTGTCACATGATCTTCAGAAATCATTCTAATATGCTGCTTTACTGCTCAAGAAACATTTCTGATTATTATCAATGTTGAGAACTGTTATACCACTGAATATTTTTGTGGAAACCGTATTTGCTGAATAACAAACCCTGGTGTAAGAAGAGGCTCGGGTTGTTGTTTCCCTCACTGAGTCACACATCAGAAAACTGAAGGAAAATAGCAGGGGGAAGGGGATTCACATTTGGCTTTAAACACTTTCCCTGTAAGGCAAGGCAAGGCAAGGCAAGTTTATTTGTATAGCACATTTCATACACAAAGGTAATTCAAAGTGCTTTACATAAAAGAAAAGAAAAAAAATAATCACAACAATAAAACAAGGAATTTAAAAACATTGAAAATGATTAAAACAATTGATTTATGATTAAAACAATTGATTTGTAGTCGTCTTGTCTTCTCCCACGACTGCTCTCATGGCGCTTCTTATTAGCCGACGTGGGTGGACAAACGCCGGTAACATTTAAAGGGAGTTCACAATATTGCACAGCCACTGTGACCTGTAGGCTGTAGGGTATATACTGTACATTTTGTGCTTTGACTGCATATGTCTTTCAGATAATGTACACATACTCAAAAATTTGCAAAAGGGACAAAGAAAACTCCTTTTCCCAGCATTGATAATTAAATCTAAAAAGTAATTGGTTTAAATGCCAGGACTGTCGATATAAATGTTACAAAAATTCTTCCTAATGTAATTTAACCAGTGCAAAAAAAAGTGCAAAGATCTGCAGAATCGATATATAAGTACACCGGTAAGAATCTGTACATACATACACAAATAAAAACATAATAAATATAACATAATAAAGCGAGGAAAAATCGGTCACAACATCTTTACGACAAGTGTCACTTTTATATTCACGCACAGAAATCATTCATGGACCTCAGAATGTATTAAACAGATGATACAGAAGTAAAAGAAGGTTGTAATTATATTTCTGATGCACGATTTGTATGAGAACATGGTGTGAATCTCACAAAAAAAAACAAAATTTAAAAGAAAAATGATTTTGCATTAAAAAAGTGAACCTTTGTATGAAGGACCATTAAGATTAAATATATAAATATTTATAATGTATTTATTAAAAGCAATGTAACAAATACTAATATTGTGTATAAATAATTCACGTTTTTTTTCCACATTAATAAGATTTTTTTTTTTTTTTTTGCAATTTGGGGGGATTGGGGGAAATTTATACTATGGAAATGTATGGTATGATGTATAAATAATATTAAATAATAAATAATTTAAATAGCATTTTCCCCACATTAATGAGAATTACATTATGGAACATTATGGACAATGGAAATTGTGGCAAAATGTGCCAC